TGGGCAAATGCAAAACTCTTATTCCGAACAAAAAGAAGATCACGCGGAGGTCTTATACCAACATGCGCGCATGCCCAACACACACACAGCATGGCAAGAGTCAACGCAAACACAAAGTCCGAAGTATGTCGTAACAACCCGCGGTAAGACAAGAGTCGTATGCTCACATCAAATGTGTGATAACTGAATGTCTGATAACGTGCACCACACTAACTCACGAAAGAAACGATTCCAACCTCCCCTCGAAGGTTCCCACTGCGTAGTGAATAAGTGTACTCCGACTGCAACCAAAGTCAAAATTGGATACGTGCTGAGAGCAACTCGTACAAGATAACAAATGCAGCAAGTACAAACGCCAGCGGCCTTCCAACATCTGTTGAAGCACGCCCAGAAACTTGCATTCAAACATCTGCGGAAGAGACTCGCATTCCAACATCTGCTGAAGAAACGCATGTCACAACTGAACCGAGAACTCGGCGCGTATCTTGCAACGTCCATTGGCTGAAAATCTCCTCCCAAAAACTTGCATGAACATGTTCGCCCAGAGTTCTAGGCCCACCTTGCACCACAATGAGGTCTTGCAGGATGGCCTCAACACAGGTATGGCGCGTTGCCCTTTGCCTGGTGAAACCGTGAATTTCTGATATGTTTAATCTTGTACACATATAGAACACACCAAAAAGAATGTCGTGGTTGAGGCTATACCCGTAACCGAGCTTCCGGCACTGAGTCTTAGAGGCAACTGGAGTGCCGAACTTTCTGCCCAGACACCTGGCGAGACGAAACACGTTTTGGGACGTGAAGCTCATGCGAAGCATGTCATCTATCAAGTAACTTCGCCCGTGCACACCAACCTCAGTTACGAACTGATCAAAATGCTCCATTTTATCTGGCACCCTAACATCAGATCGATTTACTCGCGCGGTAATTGTTGCACTCCCAGCGGAAGAGACTCGCATTCCAACCTCCGCATCTTGTTCTGCTGAAGAAACTTGCAATCCAACATATGCTGAAGAAACCTGCATTCCAACGTCTGTTGCAGCACTCCCAGAAACGTGCATTCCAACATCTGCTGATGAAACATGCAGTCCAGACTTGCGGAACAGTATTTCCTGATCCTTAAATTGCACGCCAACTGATACAAATAGTCTGCATGGCCACGTTTCGCCTCGTCCTCCGCCACTGCTGAATTCACAACTGCATGAGATAAACTCCCAGCCGCGGAACTCCCCAGTGCACCAGATGAACTCCAAACTGCGGAACTCCCAACTGCAGAACCCCCAGCTGTTAAACTCCCAACTGCATCAACAACTGCATCAGCGGGACTCCGAACTGTGGAACTTCCTACTGCACTCCGAACTGTGGAACTCCCGACTGCACTGGAACTCCCAACTGCAGAAGCATCACCCTGATCAACGCGCACTCGATGACACTCCTCCTTCTCCTCCTCACCAACAAAGAGAACACAAAGATCAGTCTGAGTCCCAACGCAACGTGAACACAGGGATCTGTCTGAGTCCCACAATCGGAACACTGCGAACACAAGGGGTTGCCAGCCAATTCAACAGCATCCATATCAGTCTGTGTTCCACAAGTGTCCTCAACCCATTCCTCTTCCTCAGAATCGTCCGAGCAGAAATTCCGATAACATCTGGGCGCGAAAATACCCGCGCGAACAAGGCACGACGAATCTGGCCCTCGAGCCGTGGACCACAAACGATACCTGATACGTTTCGCCCGCAGGCCGCGCAACTTCGATTGAGAAGCTTTGACAACAAGCCCATACAGCTGGTCTCGCTCATGCAGGCGAGACTCACATCCGTACGAAGGGCGAACACGGCAATATAGATCACTAACACACACTTCAAGCGTTGACAAACGATCACCGAGAAAATCGGAAGTAAACAACGCCGTAGCTGTCCAGTCTGAAGCTACAAAATCCGTGCCTGACAATTCAGATGAAACAAACTCCATAAATGAAACGTGGATTCGCTCAAGAAGAAGAAGGCAAATCACAAGCAGACAATGCAACAAGTACAAAGCAAGCGGCCTGGAAGTACAAGATAACAAATGCAGCGAGTACAATCAAAGCAAGCGGCCTATGCACCTGCTCCAATAGGAGCTGTCTCACTTGACACAACAGAGAACCTGGCACCTATCGTCTGTAGGCCCACGGAGAGGAGGTCGTCGCAGCCGACGAAGTACCCGAAGATATGGGACGGCCCGTACACGAGATGCACAGTGGAGTACGATACGTGTGTGCACAGGAAACCTGTCCGCACAATGCGGCTCGAGGAGGCCGCCGACGGGCCAGGCCGCCGCTGAGCTCCCCGAGGAGGGACAGCAGCAACCTGGTCACCGCCGGGGACCTCGCATAGCTCCTTGCACGCTCGTAAGCGCTCAGGAAAGAACCGTCAACCTGGGTTACCGCCGGGAGACTCGTAGAGCTTCCTTGCCATATACCATCTCCAAAGAATTAGCAGAGAACGAATAGTTTTTTAGCCCGATCGCTGATAGCAGACAGATTTCAGGCGTCTATATACATTTCACTTGCGCCCCTGACGATTCCCTTCCAATTACTGCGCTGAACAGCTCTGTAGCTCATCTGCAGCACGAGTGAAACCAAGAAAACCAATACCATCTCCAAGAAATTAGCAGAGTACGAATAGTTGTTCAGCCGATAGCAGACTGAGTTCAGACGTCCAGATACTCTCAAATAGCGCGCCTGGTGATTATCTTCCGATTGCTGTGCCTAAGAGCTCTGGAGCTCATCTGCACCTCGAGCTCAGTCAAGAAAATCAGTTCCATCACCAGAAAAAAATAACAGAGTATGACTAGTTGTTCGGCTTCTGCGTTCGTAACAGACCAAGCCAAGCGTCTAGAAACTTCAGACTAGCGCGCCTGATGATTTGCTTCCGATTGCTGTGCCGAAGAGCTCTCAAGCTCATTTGCAGCTCGAGTTAAGTGAGGAAACTCACCATCATCTCGGAAAAAACGGAAGAATACGAATAGCTTCGCGGACCTAGTTCGAGTAGCAGATCGAGTTAAGACCTCGATGGATGCTTCAGACGAACGCGCCTGATGATTCTGAATCGATTACGTGTGCGTACCAGCTCTGTAGCTCTCTTAAAGCTCGAGTTAACTACAAAAAACCAACAGCACCTGTCAAGATAGCTCGAAACAGCCGATCCCGCCGGAGTGCATTTTGGCAGTACTAGGTACCCGATCGAGCTGAGATTAAGACGGCGAGCGGGAATCAGATCGAATATCACGCGAATTTCGAGAACACAATTTTCAACCGAGCAAAAGTAACCAAAAAGTCCGTCGAGATTTTTCTTGCCAACAGGCGCGGGCGTTGAACCGTCAACCTGGTCACCGCCGGGAACTTCGTAGAGCTCCAGGCACGCGTAAGAGTGCTCAGAATCGAAGCAGACAGCTTCCCAGAACCGCCCCCCCCCCCAAAAAAAACGTGAAATTTGCATTTTTCGGTGTCAGCCTGAGCCCGGTTCCTCCAAACTGGGCGCCAGCGGTAAACCGTCAACCTTGGTTACCGCCGGGGGGCTCGTAGAGCTTCCTTGCCATATACCATCTCTAAAGGATAAGCAGAGTACGAATAGTTGTTGCAGCCGTCTAGATACATTCAACTAGCGCCTCTGATGATTTCCCTCCGATTGCTGTGCAGAACAGCCCTGTGGCTGATCTACAGCGAGAGTTGACCAAGAAAACCAAGACCGTCTCCAAAAAATGCAGTTCGAATAGTTAGCCCGAGCGCTGATAGAAGACTGATTTCAAGGGTCTAGATACTATCAAATAGCGCGCCTCATGATTGTCTTCCGATTGCTGTGCCTAAGAGCTCGGGACTCATCTGCAGTTCGAGTGCACTCAGAAAAAATCATTCCATCTCCAAAAAAAACTATGAGCAACGGTCCCATTTTTCTTGCGGAGACTGAATCTAGCGAAACTCTGGACTCGTCATGGCCAGAGGCTTTGAGCTTAAAGGCATGCCTTAAAACTCCTTCTCCCCGAGGGTTGGGGGGGCGGGAGACCAGAAACAACTTGAGCGGAAAAGGGCAGCAGGGTGTTGGCGAGTGCACATCAGACAACGGGCAGAGTATTCCCTTTTGCCCAACATCACACGTATGGCCCCTCTGCTCAACCCGTTCTAAAACCTCCAGAGCAACGGTCCCATTTTTCTTGCGGAGACTGAATCTAGCGAAACTCTGGACTCGTCATGGCCAGAGGCTTTGAGCTTAAAGGCATGCCTTAAAACTCCTTCTCCCAAATCATCCCGAAGCTATCCAGGTTGGATGTTCGCTAGGGTGGGGAGAGAAAGGGTGGGAGTGACAAGCTCGCTTTTCAACAGTACTAGCCAAGAGGGTCGAGACCATTGCCCGTGCCAGACCAGGAGGGTATTCAGAAGCAATGCGGGTGCGGCGGAGGCCACCTGGACCCCCGCCGCTGAGTTGCCAATGGGGTTTCCCAGTCCTAGAACATATACAGCCCTTTGGTCGGCATCGACGGGTGAGCTTAATTATATCTTCCTTATTCACGTGTGCACAGAGGAGCCGTGTGGGCTTTTTCCATCTTGCTCCATACTGACACTGGTCCAGTTCAACAAGAGAGACATGTTTATGGTGCGATAAGTCGCACACCTCAGCAGTATGCCACAGCCGGCTCGTCAAGGGATGTTCAAGGATTACGGGAACCCCCAGTTTCAAAAAGAATCTGAAGAGAGAAAGAGCAACCCGAGCGAGGCGGTTGCCTAATTCCACTGCTTCGGCATCGGCAGGCGTCAGCTCGGAGGCGGGGAAGCCCCATGGCTTCTCGCGGCTGCGCACAGGTCTCGACCTGTCGTGCGCGAGGGAAAAAGTCTGGCACGGAGGGGCCATTGTTGCGGCCACCAGTCGGCCAGCTCGAGCGTCAGCTTTGATCGCCCGCAGCACGGCAGGCGACAACAAGTCTTGCCATTTTGCATCATAGATGACGTCCCAACTTCTCGCCCGGAAGCCCTCGGCCTCGGCCGCCCGAGACACCGCCCGGCAGCCCGCGAAGAGATCGCCGAGGTACTGGCCCTTGCCGAGGCGCGAGCGGCGAAGGCGGCCACGAGATCGGCCTCCACGGTATCCAAGGTGCAGCTGGCTCACATGCGCCACATCTGCACGTTGTGGGGCCGGTCCGTCAGGATGAGCGCCAGCTGCCTCTCCGCCTCCTCGCACGTCGCGCGCAGCCGGGGGTCGAGCTTCGCATAGTCGCTGCCGAGCCTGCTGCTGTGCTCGTAGCGGTGCATTGACTTCGCCTGCGTCCACTCCCCGCGTCGCTGCGCCGAGGTCAGACTGCGCCAGCCTTTCGCCAAGTCGATGCTGGCGCCCGAATGTCTCATCTGGTACAATGTCACCGGGGCCACCCCGAGGTCCTCCGCCGCCTCCTTGAGCAACGTCGCTGCCTCGGGGTAGCTGAAGTTCCACAGCGGTTCCTTCGACGTCGTCGAGGCCAGCCGCTCGAACACCTCGTCCAAGCCCTGGAGGTACGGCGAGTCCAGGGGGCAGCCCTCGTCGAAGTGCCCACGTTTGCTGGGCCTCTTCCGCTCCAGCGGGTGGGTCAACAGGGCCCAGTGCCTGCTGACACCAGGCGACGGTGGCACAAGGTCGCACCGCCGGGCGGCCAGCAAGGTCGAGGGCCGACCATAGATCGATACGCCTATCATCAAGAAGATGCCCAGGCGTAGGTGTCCCCGCTGCGCCAGCCTCCAAGCCAGCCCGCACCAGACCGGAAGGGCAAGGGCCTTCCGCCGCCTGCCTGGGGTCAGCCTGCGCCAGGCCTTCAGCGCCCGCCACGTCCGCGGCAGCTTGCGACCTCCCACGCGCCCGAAGTCCGGGTTCGCGCTGACCCAGGCTGCGACCGTCTGGTCTCCGTAGTTGCTCTGCTCGCCCTGCAAGTAGTTCTCGGTCATGTAGTTGCACATGAGCTCGTCGATCTCCGTGTCCGGCTTCGCCAGGATCTGCCTCCGGCTCAGGCCGGCACGCGAGTAGAAACGATCGAGATATCGCTGGTACCTCACCTGCGTCGCCTGGGTCACCGCCAGGGTCTCCAGGAGGCTCACGCCCTCGCCCTGCGCCGCCAGGATAGCATCGGCGTACAGCGTCGCCCGCCGGTGCGCCCTCCGCGCGCGCAGCTGCCGCATTCGGGCCCGAGTCCGCCCCAGCTGCTCCACCACCGAGTCGGAGCCGCTGGAGCTGCTGTCGCCCTCGGCGTCCTCCCCGGCGTCTCCAGCGAGGTCCAGCCCGTTCGCGTCCCTCTCGTCGAGGGCCGAGAGATGCCGCCCAGCCTGGCTGGCCCTCTTCTTTGAAGGCAAGAGGGGGGCCGGCGCCAGTATCCGCGCCCGGCCCAGCGCCCCGGGGCTGGCGATCGCCCTCGCGCCGCTCGGGTCCGAGCGCGAGCCCGCCGGCGCCGCCACGGCCGCCAGCGCACGAGTCCGCGCGGCCGGCCGCCGAGCGCCCGCCCGCAGAGGGGGCGTCCGCGCCCGCGGCGCCGGCCCGGCCAGCACCCGAGCCCTCTCGGGGGCCATGGCCCGCCGGCTCTGGCGAGTCGGGAGCCTCGGGAACCCCAGCCAAGCGAGAATGGTTTGAGCAAAAACGGCTACGGAGAGGATCCCGCGTATTGTCTTTCACAGGGACGGCTCTTGGAGGACGGGTGAGCAGATTCAAACCGGCCTGGAACTTCTCATCAAGGAGAGATGTGAGAATATTACTGTCGCTCTCAGAAAAAACCCTGCTGCCTTCATCGCTTTCATTAAACTCCGAGGGGATCCATCGAATAGCGGGCGTAAGCCCCAACGCAATTGCATAGGCATAGAATCGACGGATCTGAACCAGCAAGCTGAAGCGGGACGAACGAGCCCTGGAAAAGGATAGCACCACAGACATATTGTCGGACAGAAAGAGCTGTCGCACACAGACCCCGTGTGCGGTCTTTGCCAGCCGCTGGATCGATTTTACGAGGGCCCTGGCTTCAAGGATCAGGATGTCCTCAGCAAAACGCCAGACCCCGGACCGGACGGTCTCCCAGGCCCCCTTTCGGAGCCACTGCCAGGGCACTTCAGCGAACCCGGGGTCGAGCTCCCACGAGGACAGGAGGTCAGACGCGAGAGAGTCAGGATTCTTCATATCCTCAAAACTGCACAAGGCGCCCGAGCTGTCCCGAGCAAGGTTGGCGGCAGCGAGCGCGCTCTCTCGCGCCGGCCTGCCCAGCGCCGAACGGAAGCGGGCTCGCTCAGGCAGCCGGCCGACCTGCTCCACCACGTGCTGCGGCCAGAACGACTGCGCCATGCCCCAGCCGCTCTCGCTCGCGTCGGTCTGGAGCACGCAGCAGTTCCATGGCCGCCACCAGTCCTGAACCATCAGGGTGAGCAGCCCGCGGAACATCTTGATCTCCTTCACGACTTCTGCCCACAGGCGGGCAGGCTCCAGGTAGTGCCGCTGGATGAAGCGGTACGAGGCGTGCCAGCAGCTCAGCGACCCTCGGAGGGCCAGCCCGCAGAAGGTGCAGTGGCCCAGCACCACCTCCAAGGCGCGCCCTGTCGCCCGGCCGCGGGCTAGCAGGCCCCCCAGCCCCAGGTACACCTTCCAGAACCGCCCGTCGCTCACGCCCGACCTCATCAGCTCGAGGTCAAGCTTGGTCCCGAGCGCCTCGCACGCGCCCGAGCCCACCGAGCTCTTGTGCAAGTCCAGGCCGACCCCCTCAAAGAGACCAGTCCAGCTCTCGAGGGCGCTCTTGGCGAGGCCCTCCGAGGGGGCGAGCACCCCCATGTTGTCGACGTACACGTAGGCTCCCCCGTGCAGGCCGGGCTCAACCTCCACGACGAGCGGAGGTCCGCGATCGCTCATCAGGACCCGCTCCGAGACTGCCATGTCTCCCCCTGGCCACGGATCAGACCGGACGACCCTCTCCTCGTTCGCGTCTTGGGCGAGGAAGAGGGACCAAGAGAATCCCATGGGGAGAGCCCCGATGCAGGGGAAGACGAGGGTGTCGCAGCCCAGCCTCGTCCCCTCCAGCTCGTGCCCCTCCAGGCCAAGGACGTGAGCTGGAGCGGCGGGCAGCGAGAAGAACTTCGCCAGGCTCACCGGGATGCGCATCCTGTAGAAGCAGTCCTTGACGTCCGTCATGCCCAAGAAGAGCTTGAAGCCGTTCAGCAGCTCCTCGCCCCGCGCCGAGCCGAAGGCGACGCCCTCTGGGAGCTTCACCTCCACCCTGCCGAACCCCTCGCACGACAGGAGCTGGACGCTGGGGGGCACGCCGAACCACGCGTTCGCCCGACGCGCGTCCACGATCATGCGCATCTTGTCGCTGTCGGCCTTCTTCACGAAGAACAGGCCAGCCTGCTCTGCGGGAGACAAGGTGGCAAGCAAGAGCCCGCGGGACGAGAGATCCTTCAAAAAGTTGTGGTACATCTTCTTGTTCCGCTTCAGCAGCGGGTCAAAATAGGGAGTCGGCAAGTTGTCAAAATCGATCTCCTCGATCGGCCGCCTCATACGCTTTTGATTCTCCTTCAGGTAGGCGCGGCCGGCCTCGCCCACGATGTCGTCCACCTGGAGGCAGCCGACAACCGAAGGGGGCAAGGACACGCGCTCGCGGACGAAGGAGGCCAGGTTCCTCGGGGAGCCCGACGTGTCGTAGATCGAGCACCCCTTGAGCAACGCACTGAGCGATGCCTCTTGGGACGGACAGGGGTTGGGAGCTGCGGCTTGGCGCCGATGAGCTTCGCTGGCCACCCACTGTACGATCCCAGCATGCTTGCCCCCCATGGCGTCCAGGGAGCGCGGCGGGCCCACGTCGGCAGGCTCCCATCCAGCAAGCCAGTTGAGAGAGTCGATAGCGCCGTTCGCCAATTCGTGCTCGCGCCGCCGCCGAGCGCCAGCAATCCGGGCGCGGCTGCCGCCCCTGCTGGCGGGCGGCCTGGCCAGGCGAGGGAGGGGGAAGAGGTCCCTATCCCCGCTCGCCAGGGCCAGCGGCGCTCGCCGGGCCGATGTGTTAGCCCAGCCGGCAGGGGCCCACTCCGCCGGCTGAGACTGGTCCGTCATGCCTGCACGGGCGGCGCGAGGGCCCGCGCCCGGGTCTTGTTACCCCGGCCGCCCCCGCCGCCGCCCTTGCCACCTTTGGCCGCATCATCGGCCCCCTCGCGCGGTGGAACCCGCGCGCCAGCCGCACCAGCAGCGACCGCCTCGGCCTTCTTGTCGCCCTGCATCAGCTCGTACTCCTCCTTGGCGCGCCTCGACACGTGAGACCGCAAGCCAGGAGCCATCAACTGGTCCACCTCGGTCAGCGGCGAGAGGTACTTCGCGTTCGAGTACGAGGCCGACCCGCTCGTCTTGTGCGCGTCCACCAGCAGGTTCAGCCGGAGGGCGGCCACTTCCAAGCAAGCCAGTCCTCCGAGGTTGATCTGGTCAAACTCGCCAGCTTCTTCCAAGATGTCGCACAACACTCGGAGTTCGTGCGCGACTCGATCCGTAGAAGCTATCCCCTTCTCCCTGAGAAAGCGCTCTAGCCACGCGCGTGGAGACCCACTCAAGTTCACCATCATCTTGCACGTGTGAAGGCAAGTGCGATCGGCGGGCAGCCGATGATGGTCCCACTTCACATCCGAGCTCTCGGCCACCGCTCGCTTGAACTCCTTCCTGCGCTCGCCCTGCTCGTCCCAGTCGACCCACAGCGTGCGCGCGTCGCCGTAGGCGTCGTCCTTCCCCGCGGCCGACTCGGCGGGCTCCTCGGCGGCCAGCCCCAGCTTCTCGCCCAGGCGGTCGCCTCCGGCCGAGCGAGCCTCACGCCCCAGCGGCGGGGTTTCAGTCCCGCCAACCAGCTCCGCGGCGCCCATGGCGTCGGGCCCCGCGCCGAGGTCGAGCACCAGCTCCCTCGTCCTCTTGGCGGCCCACTCGACGATCTTGCCCTCGTCCACCTGCTCGAGCCTCGCCCAGCGGCCGCAGCTCGGCAGCAAGCTGAGGGCCCGGCTCCCGTCGCGCAGCGCCCCCACCGGGAGCGGATCCACCACGGTCCCGATTGGCATGCCAGGGAGCGGTTCCGTCAGCACCCAAGGGCGCGGGGCCTCGAGCCACGGGAAGTGGTCGCGGCCGGGGCGCACCGCCCCGTCGGCCAGCACCACGCTCGTCGGCGCCTCCGACTCGGCCTGCCCACGCCTGAGCATCGTGGCTCGGCACTCCGTCGCCAGCTCCACGACCTCGTCCAGGCTGGGCCGCGCCCGGAACCGATAGAGGCGGCGGCCGTCGGGCGGATCCCCAGTCGCCTGGTCCAGCAGCGACCCGCCCGACGGCCCGGTCGCCGCATTCCTCCCGCTCAGGTCCTCCTCCCAGACGTCGCCGTCCGCGGAGAGCACCCAATAGGCGTGCCGCCCCCGGACCCGCCGCCTCTGGTCCAGGCGGCGGCTGGGCCACAGCACGACCCTCGTGTGGTCCATGGTCTCCCCGGTGTAGGAGACCCGGACCAGGGTGCCGACCGCCAAGTCAGCGCACCACTCCCCCCCCGCGGCGAGCGGGGGCAGGGGACGGTGCGCGATCATCATCTCCTTCGGCGGCAGCAGCGCGCCCGCGGCGCGGGGCGACGCGGCCGAGCCCCAGCCCAGCCGCGATCCCTGCGAGTCCTCCCCAGTACGCCGAGAATGGGTCGAACTCGCCGGCGCCCACGACCCCCCCTGCAGGCGGGCAGGAGAGGTTGACCAGCGGCGCCGGGCACGCTGGAGGAGGGCAGGGCGGCGGTGAGCACGTCAGCGCCGGGCAGACCTGCGGCGGGCAGGTCAGGTTCGCCGGCGGGCACGCCAGCGACACCGCGGGGCACGGCGGCACCCCCGAGATGATCGACTGCCGCAGCGCCAGCAACTCCAGAGCGCGCACGCCCGCGATCTGGAGATGACTGATGAGGGCCGGCGGGGGGCCCATCAGGCCTGCTACAGACCAGAAACAACTTGAGCGGAAAAGGGCAGCAGGGTGTTGGCGAGTGCACATCAGACAACGGGCAGAGTATTCCCTTTTGCCCAACATCACACGTATGGCCCCTCTGCTCAACCCGTTCTAAAACCTCCAAAATAGTTGTTCGGCGTCTGTGCTGAAGACGGACCAAAACCAAGCGTCTAGATACTTCAGACTAGCGCGTCTGATAATTCCCTCCCGATTTCAGTGCCGAAGAGCTCTAAAGCTTAGATGTACCTCGACTTCAGTCAAGGAACTCACCATCATCTCGAAAAAAACTGTAGTACAAATAATAGCTCGAGTAGCAGATCGAGTTCGGACCTCTAGATGCTTCCGACGAACGCGCCTGATGATTCTGAATCGAGTATGTGTACGCATCAGCTCTGTAGCTCTCCTACAGCTCGAGTTCAGTACAGAAAACGGACAACAGCTGTCAAGAAAATTCGTACAATACGAATAGTTTGCCAGACCTAGCTCGAGTAGTAGACCGAGTTCAGACCTCTAGATGCTTCAGACGAACGTGCATGATGATTCTAAATCGAGTACGTGGGCGTACAAGCTATGTAGCTCTCCTACAGTTAGAGTTGAGTACAGAAAACCGAGAGCATATGTCAGCAAATTTCGTACGATTGGTTTCGCGGACCTAGCTCGAGTAGCAGACCGAGTTCAGACCTCTAGATGCTGGAGACGAGCGCGTCTGATGACCCTGAATCGATTGTGTGGCGCACCAGCTCTGTAGCCCTTCTACAGCTCGAGTTAAGCACCGAAAACCGACAGCATCTGTCAAGAAAATCGTTAGAATACGAACAGCTTTGCGGACCTAGCTCGAGTAGCAGACTTAGTTCAGACCTCTAGATGCTCGAGACGAGCGCGTCTGATGATTATGAATCGATTGTGTGGGCGCACCAGCTCTGTAGCTCTTCTACAGCTCGAGTTAAGTACCGAAACTCGACAGCATCTGTCAAGAAAATCAGCAGAATACGAATAGTTTTGCGGACCTAGCTCGAGTAGCAGACTCAGTTCATACCTATAGATGCTTCAGATGAACGCGACTGATCATGCTGAATCGGTTTCTGTGCGCACGAGCTCTGTAGCCTTCATCTGAAAAAAGTGCCGTTCAGACTCTGGGGCGCCCCCAGACTCTGGGGGTTGGGGGCTGCTCCGACTGTGTCTCTCGTTGTCCGACTGTGTCTCCTCGCTCATACCCCCTGCCTCCTTCTCCTGGTCCTCCTCCCTGTTTCTCTTCCTACTCCCTCTTCGCCTGCTTTTCCCAGTCTTTTTCTTCCTGTTCCTCATGTTCCTCCTCCTCCTCCTGAACCTCCCCCCCCCCTCCTCCTCCTCGCCCCCAGTGCGCCCAGGAGGCTTTCAAGATGGCCCCATGACGGCCCAGGAGGCCCCAAAGACGGCCCCAAGAGGCCTCTAAGACGCCCAAGATGGCCTCCAAGACGGCCCTGAAGCGCCTCAAGAGGACCCCACATCGGTTCAGAGAGGCCCCCAAGACGGCTTCCGACGGCGTCAGACCCGTCAGACGGGCTAGGAACGATTTAAGACTGCCAAGGAGAGGCCCCCAAGACGCCCCCACGGCCCCCAAGAGGCCCGTAGGCGTCTTGGATCCGCCGCCCCCTGCGCTTGCCACAGGGGTGGACGGCGTGCCAGACATTTTGCTGAGATTCTGACTTTCAAACCCTTCCCAGTGGCCTTCGGCCCAGACCGCCTGCCCCTCGGAAGGACCAGAAGGTGTGGCCCACATCGCCACCAAGACGGCCCAAACGGCCCAATATGGTCACCAAGATGCCCCCAAGGCGGCTAGGATCGCTCCAAGAGGGCCCAAGACGGCTCCAATATGTCTCCAAGACGGCCCAAGATGCACCCGAGGCGTCCAAGATGGCCCCAAGATGGCCCAGGACGGCCCCCAAGGCCCCCAAGAGGCTTTTAATGCAGTCCAAGAAGCCTCCAAAGGGATCTGCAGGAAGGCCCGAAGAGGCCAAGACAGCTGATTTCCCGTGGGCTCTTGATGGATTTTGACGTTTTCGGCCTGCCGACGGCCCAATGCCGCCGAAGAGACCCCCAAGATGGCCCCAAGAGCGCCCAAGAGGCCTCCAAGACGGCCCCATGACGGCCTCCAGACGGTCCAAGAGGCCCCCAAGGCGCCTCCAAGACGGCCCACGAGAATTCCAAGGCGCCCACGATGGCCTTCAAGACGGCTCCAAAACGTCCAAGATGGCAACGATACGATTCGACATAGCCCCAGGATGTCCCAAGACAGCCACAGAGGGCCCCAAGGGCCCCAAGGGGATCCAAGGGGCCTCCTAGACAGTCTAGGAAGTCTTCAAGAGGACCTCCAGGAGAGCCCGAAATGCCCAAATGGTTGTATTTATTCCCTTAAATTGTTGAATAAGATGTCCAAGATGTCCACAAGATGGTCCCAAGACGGCCCAAGCTGACTTCAAGATGGCCCCAAAAGGGCCCCAAAGGGCGAGGAAACAGTCCAAGAGGAAGAGCAAGAGGAAAGGACGGAATCAGAGGCCCGAAGCGGCTCCGAGAAGCCTGCAGCTCAGCGCGGGCTCGTCTGCGGACGCCCTTGCCCCCCCCAGGAAAAACATATCACCCCGAGGCCCGGCGATGTTTTGTGGGGCCGCCATCTCAAAGCCCCACGGCCAGCTTTTGGGTCGAGGAGGAGGAAGGGCAGGAGGACGAGGAGGTGATCAACAGGAACCAGAGGAGCAGGAGCAGCAGGAGGACGAGGAGTTTGAGCAAGGGGTCAAGGACGGAATGATAGGCCAGAAGCGGCTCCGAGACCAGACCGCGCTGAGCTGCAGGGTTTTCGGAGCCGCTTAAGGCCTCTCATTTCGTCCTTGTCCCCCTGCTCAACCTCCTCGTCCTCCTGCTCCTGATTCTCCTGGTTTTGCTCCTCGTCTTCCTCGACCCAAGAGCCGGCCGTGGGGCCTTGAAAGGGCGGGCCGAAAAAATGTCACCGGGGGCCGAGCTGCAGGCTTCTCGGAGCCGATGCGGCCAAAAAGAGGCTGCCCTGCAGGCTGTCTCGGAGCCGCTGCGCCAAAAGAAGGACACCTTGTCGGTTTAACTACTAGGTCGCTTTGTCGGCTGATTTCGGGCGCGTCGTCATCGTGGTCGTCGTTGTCATCGTCGTCGTCGTGGTCGTCGTCGTCACCACCATCGTCGTGGTCGTCGTCGTCGTCGTCGTCGTCGTCGTCGTCGTCGTCGTCATCGTCGTCGTCGTTGTCGTTGTCGTCGCCGTCCATAAGATGGCCCCGAGAGGGCCCTAAGAGGGCCCCAAGAGAGCCCCAAGAGGGCTCCGAGAGGGCCCCAAGAGGGCCCCAGTAGTTGTGCAACAACCCAGCGGCCGCTGGTACATAACTCCTGGGGCCCTCTTGAAGCCCTCTGAGGGCCCTCTTGGAGCCCTCCTGGGCCCCTGGTTGGCCCATGAGAGGGCTTCAAGAGGGCCCTAAGAGGGCCCCAAGAGGGCCCCAAAAGGGCCCCAAGAGGGCCCCAAGAGGGCGCCAAGAGGGCCCCAAGAAGGCCCCAGGAATTATGTACCAATCCAGCGGCCGCTGGTACATAACTCCTGAACCCTCTTGGGACCCTCTGAGGGCCCTCTCGGAGCCCTCAGAGGACCCCTGGTTGGCCCTGTAGGGCCCCAAGAGGGCCCCAAGAGGGCCCCAAGAGGGCCCCAAAAGGGCGCCAAGAGGGCGCCAAGAGGGCGCCAAGAGGGCTCCAAGAAGGCCCCAGGAATTATGTACCAACCCAGCGGCCGGCGGTACAGAACTCCTGGGGCCCTCCTCCTCCTCCTCGGCGACGACGACGACGAGGTGTAAACGCACCCTTACCCAGCCCCTGCAGGACCAGGCAGCGATATTGGACCAAATTTCCTGGCCCCTGTTTCGACCCCAGAGCTCTCGACCCCGTCCAGGAGCTCCCGACCCCAGCCCGGAGCTTTCGGCCCCATCCTGGAGCTCTCGACCCGCAGACGACGGCGACGACGACGACGACGACGACGACGACGCCTCGACCTGGAGCGGTAAGTTTTGCTGCTGCTTTTCCCCAGGGGTTTGGAGCCCTCGGGGCCCAGGGGGGCCCCGCAACGCATCCGAAGCCTCAAATTTTTCCGACCCGCGACCGACGACCGGCGACAACGACGACGACGACGACGACGACGGGCATGAGTTATTTGGCGCCCCCCCTTGGGAGCATCGGGTAACTGGGGGGTACGCTCCACACCCCCCACTTACCCGGTGTCCCCCAGGGGACATCGGGTAACTCGACCTTGCAGGGGGGGGTGTTAGGCACGGGTTACCCGGTGGCGAGGGGGGGGCATCGGGTAACTCGACTTTGCACGGGGGGGAGTCGGGCATGAGTTACCCGGTGTCCCCTGGGGGACATCGGGTAAGCGGGGGGTGCGCTCCACACCCCCCACTTACCCGGTGTCCCCCGAGGAGCGTCGAGTAAGTCGACCTTGCAAGGGGCGCATTCGGCATTATTCAGAAAACCGGTGGACCCCCATGGGACATCGGAGTTACCCGGTAGTCCCCGT